GCTCCAGAGGCCGCAATTATGGTCCGAACATCGCGAAATTGTACATGAAGAAGGGGATTGGGCCAAAGAATAAGCAAGCTTGTTTTGAAAAAGATCGGTCAGATTTGTGTGAAAAATTACAAAATTTGTATTATATATAGCTTATATATTTACTCCTGAAGGACATAAAGCCGACAAGTTGATAGTATGTCCAAGAGGGGTGGTTGGCCTTTAAATTGATACCAAGTATATTGTAGTATGTACTTGGATGTGGGAGTTACACGTAAATATTTACAGGTGCTTACGTATTCAGATATTGTTTAGTAAACCATTACCACACTAAAGGGCGGAAATATAGAGCTGATCGCTTTGAAATGTTCCATGAGGTTCCAGTTATGGTCAAGAACAACGGTGATGATCAGATAATAATTTTGGGATGAAGTGTCAGTATAAGGAAGAGGTGATGTTGACCTTTAATCGGGCAAGAGAGTGCAACTATCACGAAATATTACCCAGGCTCGGAATAAAAATCCGCAGAAAGATAGAGTTCAGTGGTAGTTGTGTAGGGTATCGTATGGTTGGCCCCGTCCGACTATACTGCACCGCTCACTGGTTTATTTTTAATAAAAGTAGTGAGCGAGGGTGTATATTCGGACGGTGCCGACCATATCATACCCTACACAACTACATGCTTGGATGATATTTTTCGATATTTACACCCTCTCGACCCAGGTATATTTTTCCGAATTGTATTTCATACTTCAGCATAAATGCTACCAATTTAAAGGTGAACTGCTCCCCAACTTGGTCTTGGTCCATTTGACATACTGAATATTGATCGATCTACATAAAAACAGTCAAGCATATTCTTTGGCTCATTCCCCTTCTCCACGTAAAATTTCGTGGTGTTTGGGTCATAATTGTAGTATATAGAACGGTCCATTTCATACCCTAAATATTAACGGATCATTGCCAAAAACAATAGGGTTCATCATTGGCCACAACCGGTCCTGCATTCAAAATTACATGACGGTTGTTCCATAACTGTGGTCTGTGTTTACAAGTTATAATGGACACACGGACAGACGAACACACATGTCTAGATCAACTCAGTTAGTTGACACGTGACGATCGGTATACTAAAACTTGGGTCTAGACCAATATTTCGCGGCTTTACAAGCTCGTGGGGCCGCACAAAGCTATAACACCCTTACAGCATATGTAGATGTGCTGGTTTTAAATATATCTGACCATACTATACTACTACCACTGAAGTTTTACTTTATTCGGATTTGAATACCAAGCATGTCAAATTTTCGAGAAATTAGTATTCTCTTGAACCATTTTGGAATATGTGACATATTTACAAATCTTGGTGTGTCTCCCATTTTCGTCCTCTAACATCAACACAAAGGTTTTCAAAGGTTGACATAAATAAATATTTACTAATCATTGATCCGCTAGTAAAATTTTGTCATGTTTGGGTCATAATTATGACCTTTGGAACTACAAAAAAAAACTGACAAAACCGGTAAAAGTAGTAAAATCGGTCTGGACTGACTATATGATACCCTTCACCATTTTGGGTATATTCAACAGATGCATCATAATAGACGACACATTTTTAAAGGACCACTGACATGAAATTGGAATATTTATATCGATATAAAGCAAACTTGACAATCGCTATTCGGTATGCTCAGCCCACAGTGCAAAATCTCAGTCGGACACTCGAAGTCAAAATTTGAACCGATTTCAACAGGTTAGTCTATACTAACTTTGGTATGTTTAACAAAATTTTGTACCAATTTTGAACCGATTTTAACAAAATATGACACACGTTAGGCTATACTTACATCAGTCTGTTTTGGCAAATTATGTGCCAATCGGGTATATTTCATATGTATTTCATATTCTGCATATAGCACCATAATACTTTCCAGCATTGAGCGGCATAAATTGAATATTGAAACCAATATCTTGGTCCAAATCTGCAGTACTAGAAACACGCTCAAAGATTCAAAAGTGCTCCACCATCTTTGATTGTTTTAGGGATCGTAAATTTTGTTCTGTAGACGTCTCACATACTGTCAGGATCCATTATCACCATATAAAACTATTTTGGAATCGTCCGATCCCAACGTATTTCTTCGTTTTCCAACTATTGGTTATAGGTTACGCTGCTATTATTTTGACCGCAACTGTATATAGAGCTCGTCCTTAAACCAAATTAATTGGCTGTGCCAAATTTCATTTTATTCGGATCGTAAATACGACCTTACTTTGTTTACAATTTAACATGGACAGGCTGGTGGACATGACAGGCTAGTTGCGGGGGAAACAACACACAAAGTACGGGGGTAATCCCTTTAGATCCACTAAATATATATCTGTCATCTTTAGGCGTCGAGCATACATGTATAATTTTGTGACAATTGCTTCACAAAAGCGATGTACACTTCGATTACCAATTATTATGGACAGAGGTACATACAACTAGAATGATACGAGATATAATAATCGGTATACTAAAAGGAGGGTCTAGACAGGGAAAGTCAGAGTGCAGACCGTTTAGGCGGCTTTTTACACACTAATTTTCTCTCCTGGGGCCAGGACCACTTATAATTCCCTCACATCTTTGATGTGTAGGATATATAAAACAGTTTGTGGTTTTAATAAAATATCGATTTACGTGTGGGGAAATGAGACATTTTTTCAAAGGTGTAGTTCCCACAATTCGGCCAGGTTTTGTTCAAAGCGAAAATAACGCAATTGCCCATGGGAATACTTCGCTATTTTTCTCGAATTGCCTATCCATGTTTTGGGTACATTTTCAACACACCCCAGGTAGAAATTACAGAAAGTAAACATTTTAGCGTTTTTTCCTCCCAAGGAATTGGCAACACTAATATTGAGATATATGTTTACAGAATAAAATGTATCTGAGAGATACTTTTGTTCTCTCTCTCCCTCTCTCTCAACACACATTTGCTTATGTGTGTGCAAACAAACACAGATATGTGTGTTGTCTTGTTGCAGCGGCAAATTGCGGTCTTAGCTCAAATGCCGATTTTGTTTTCAATGAGCAGCGAAAGCATGCAAACGTACGTGAGCGGAGAAGAAGAAAGAAATTGAAAAAAGAAAAATAAATAAATACAAATAATAATTATTATTCGAGATATAATAACGGAATGACGGTAGTACGATAATACGGTACGAAATTAAAAATAAAAGTGGATAAATTAAAATTATTGAAAAAATAGTTAAAAGAAAGCGTTGAAGAATTTTAACAGAAATATTGAAAATAAATAGAAGTAAAAAAATATTAAAATAGAAAAAATATAAGTGAGAATTTTAAAGCAAATTCCAAAATACGTGCTAATGATTTTTTGTTCTTTAAAGTGAAAATAAAAATTTTCAAAAAATTCTTAACTAAGGGTTGAAAGTGTATTTTGTGAAAATCACCGTAACGAAGCATAATTTTCGTGTGTGTTGTTGTTGGTGCATAACGCCTGATAAATGAAGCATAACAAAAGTGCAGCCGCCTGTATGGAATAACCAATCAATAATAGCTCATCTCCAGACAGCCGACCAACCAGCCAGCCAGCTATACGCTTTAATGAGAAGCCCCTTACCCAGTAGCTGCTGAAAAATTACGAAAGGCCATTTGTATTGGAAGTGATTAAACATTACGAGAATTTCGAACAAATGTTTCCAGGTTTTGTGACAAAACGGGCATGAAATCACAATTATTATCAGCCACTTCAGCAAAACAGAACAACTCAGCTGCAGTTCCCCCTTTTTGAAACCACAAGAGGAAAAAAATACCACAATTTTTATTTTTTGTTGCTGCTGCTGTGATGAAATACCATTGACAAGTTTTTAAGATATATGTACGTCCATTGACCAGGGTAGCGGAATAGCTGATACATATTTTTCTTGTGGCCCAAACCCCTTTCATCCTGCAACGACCCAACCGACCGGCCTGTTAACTAACCGCATACATACAGACATTCGCATTACACATTCTCACAGATACAGATAATTGAGCTCTCTGTGAAATGCTACTACTTCTCTTCTTGGCTTAGCCGCATAGAAGCAACATAAACACACAGTTCCAGGCATCCATCCGCAACCACAGACCATAATTGAGAAAAGTTCAAGGAATAAACAACATACACATAAACATTTTTTTCCTATTTTGGCCAAACAAAATTACGGTACATTTTTTCCATCCATTCATATATTTCAACAAGTATTGAAAAATTCAATACCGCTCCCCAATAAAAAAAAGAAGAAAAAACCAAACCTCGAGAATCAAAACAGAACCCAGAAAAAAACGAACCGAACGAAAAACAATAACAAACTTCGCCAGCCACAAGATATCCAATATCTCAATATTTTGTCAGCGACAACAAAAAATCAAAACAAACAACAGAAATACAGGTTTGACAACAACAACAATCTCAGAGTGCCAAAAAACGACAACAATAACTATTTTTTCGTGAGCCAACCACCACCGCCACCATTACCACTATTTGGATGACAAACTCCCCAGGTTATCAACATTCTTAGGAGCAACAACAACAATAGTCCGACAAATTTCATCAACGACGACAGCTGCAAATTTCCTTCTAGTTTTTTGTTATCGTCCTTGACGCGACCACATACCCTGCTCTTGCACCCTAAGTGGTGGTATCGCCGCCTAATTTCTCATCAACCAGTTTCTTGAGAATTTGCAACAGCGATCGTCAAACGGAGCAGTTCGTCGACGTACTTCGAAACACACATAACTCTTTTATTGTCTTAATCGGGTTTTGTGTTCGTTCACTTTGTTGCTATTGTTTTTTGTTGTTGTCATTATTATTTTGAACCTGTTTTAATCTCTCGTTGAGTCGCTCGTCGTGTGTGTTTATAAGCGCCCATTGTGCATTAGTAGTGTGACTGTGGCACTTTGTAAAAAGGTGACTGTCGTCGTCGTTTTTTGTTATTGTTTTTTTCGTTGACATCCAGTTTTTCCATGAGTGCAAAAATGAATAATTTTCCAACGGCAGCAACAACAACTGAAACGCTACCAAAGAGTGGCCATGTTAATGAAGGTAAGTCGGAACAAAACACATTTTTTTTTATTTATTTCTATTTTGTAAGGTAGACTAAGTGGTGCGACCTCTAGGAGGGTAAAAGTTGGGAAAAATTAAAAAAAAAGTTCAAAGATGGAAGATGTCTGGAAAAAACTAGAAGAATTCGTTAAATTATAGAATACCACCTTGGCTATATAACCCTAGAATACCTTATAGGTCTCATAAACATAAAATACCTAATTAATCTTACATCCACTGAAAACCGCATAGGTCATCCATAGAAGACCTCAAAAATCGTTTCTCCAAAGAAGACTTAATGAGTCGTCTATCAATAGAAGACCTCATAGGTTTTTTATCCGTAGAAGGCCCCATGGATGGTCTATCAGTAGAACACTTATCTGGGAATATAACACGACATCTATCATCTATTAATATTAGACCTCATAGATCTTCTATCCATAGAATTCATAGACCTCAGTGTCCATCTTTTAATAAAAGACATCTTAGGATAAGACCTCATATGCCTGTTATCCATAGGAGATCTTATATGCATTCTTCTCATAGAAGAGCTTATAGGACATTACACGATAAGACCTCATATGTATTTTATCCATAGGAGACCTCATAGGTTTTTCCCCATAGATGAGCTTATAGGTCTTTTTTTCATAGACGACGTCATTATATAGAAATTAGTTCACAAGATGCCGAGTGCAACCTAGAAAATTTCATTGACCTTATATCCACAGAATACCTCCAATCTCTAATTTATATAGAAAACCTCAAAGGTGTTGTTTCCATAGAATATCTCATATGACCTCTATATATTGAACACCTCATACATAGGCTTTCTATACATAGGAGACCTCATGGTGTTCTGTAGTAAAATAACTTCACTCTGACATCAATTCCAAACATATTCTTCAAAAGATCTACGGTCTAGGTACCACGCTCAGACCTTAATTCCAAATATATTCTTCAAAAAAATTACGGTCTAGGTATCATAAAAAAACTTAAAAAATCCTATGGTTTGATACAAATGAGAAAATGTTTTAAACAAAAATATCTGGTGAACGTAGAAGATATCACGGGTCGTCTATCCATAAAAGACCACATATATCAATAGAAGACCTCATCTATTAATAAAATACCTCACCTAACAGTATAGGACCCCATAGATCATCTACATGATAGATATTTTCTTCATAAAAAACCTCAGATGTATTATTTTCATAGACAATGTCACAGTATAAGATCTCATATGCCTTTTATCCACAGAAGACCTCATAGATTTCCTTCCCATAGACACAAGGTGTCTGTTGAAACCTATACAACATTTTTTGAACCCACAGAATTTCTCATTGACCATCTATACACTGAATATCTCATAGCTCTTCTGTAAATAGATAACCTAAAAGGTGTTCTTTCCATAGAATACCTCATATTGAAGAACTCATAGGTCTCCTATACACAGAAGGCCTCGTTGGCCTTCTATAGTAAAATAACTATTCTCAGACCTTAATTCTAAATTTATGCTTCAAAAGATCTACGGTCTAGGTACCACAAACAATTTGAGAAAATTTATATGGTTTGATACACCATGAGAAAAAAATCTAAGCTTCAGAAAAATACATACATTGAAAACTAACAATTACATAACTGTGAAAAGAGCTTGAACAAAATTAAACTTTTATAATGAAATCTACACCTAAGAAAAATTCCAAAGCCCAGAGTATAGCTCAGATACACCTTGAAAAAATATTTATAAGAAAATTCAAACCTATGGTTCTATATACCTACCTTTATATTAATTCATAACCGATGGTCTGATAGACATTGACAAATGATGCTGAAAATTCCTTTAGTGGTGACAGTCTATCAAATATCTTCCCAAAAATTGTCTGATAGACATTGTAAAAAATATCGTAAAAAAAATCTAAGTCAATGACCTAATAGGTCTTGACATTTTTTTTTTTAATTTTTCAGTCTTCAAAATTTACCCTTTTTATACCCTACACAACTATGTTGTCAGGGTATTATAGCTTTGTGCAGCCCCAAATGTTTATAACGCCGCGAAATATTGGTCCTAGACCCACCTTTAAGTATACCGATCGTAATATCTCGACTAGCTGAGTCGATCTAGACATGTGTGTCCGTCCGTCCGTCTGTCCATTATAATTTGTAAACACGATACAGGCCACAGTTATGGACCAATCTTCACGAAATTTTGCATGTAGGATGGGTTCTGGCCAATGAAGACCCCTATTGTTTTTGGAAAAGATCGGTTAATATTTAGGGGATGAAATGGACCAAAAACATTATTTTTTTCGGGTTTTCTGGTCGCTCCAGAGGCCGAAACTATGGCCCAAACACCGCGAATTTTTGCATGGAGAAGGGAATCCGGCCAAAGAATAAGCATGCATGTTTTGATAAAGATCGGTCAATATTTAGCGGGTCAAATGGACCCTGACTTTTGTGTGAAAAATGACAAAATTTGTATTCTATGGCATATATATTTACTCCTGGAGGATGTAGACCCGAGGAGTTGATAGCACATCCAAGAGGAGTGGTTGGCCTTTAAATCGATACCAAATGTAGTGATGTATCTACTCAGATGTGGGAGTTACAGTCAAATATTTACATGTGCTTACGTATTCAGATATTATTTAGTATTCCATTACCACATTTTTCATGAAGTTCCAGTTATGGTCAAGAACAACGCCTACAATTTTCGGTGATGATCAGATTAAAATTTTGGGATGAAATGGACCGAAAACATAATTTTTTGTGTGTTTTCGAGTAGAGAATAATCCTAAAATCACAACCCAACCCACCGTGAAGGTAATCTGGACAAGTAATTAGAAGGACTGTACTGAATATTCGAAAAAAAGTAAGGAAGAGGTGTTGTTGACCACTAATCGGACAAGAGGGGGCAAATATCACGAAATATTACTCAGACTCGGAATAAACATCCTCAGAAAGTTAGAGTTCGTGGTAGTTGTGTAGGGTATCGTATGGTCGGCCCCGTTCGACTATACTGCTCCGCTCACTGGTTATTTTTATTATTATTAAAAAAAAAATCCAAGTCATTGACAAGGCAGATCTTGACATATTTTTTAACCTTGATAACATATTCTTTAAAAATTCACGTTTACGTTCCGACAATACTTCCGAAAATTTTCTCTAACAATTTGCCATTTGATTGTGAAAAATGCCAGTCTATGGTCACTTAAACAAAGATTTTACGACCCTGATAGTCATTCCAAAAATATTCTTTAAAATTATACTCTTATGCAGGGACGTACGCAGGGGGGGGGGGGGCGAAATGAATTTTTTTCACAGTAAATTTATGTTTGCAACAGCGAATTTTTTCATTTTGTACGGCCGGGCCCCCCCGAATTGAAATCCTGTGTACGTTGCTGCTCTTATGACTCCGATATTACTTCCAAAAATATTCTTTGAAAATCTACTCTTTTGACTCCGATAGTATTCTCAAAATATACTCTGTAAAAATCTATGCTTATGACTCTGATAATCCCTGAAAAAGTAGTCTTTAAAAATCTGCGCTTATGGCCCCAACAGTCCTCCAAAAAATTGTCTTTAAAAATGCACTCTTATGGCTCTAATAGTCCTTCCAATGTTTTTTTAACCTAAACCCTAAGCTTATGGCCCTGATAGTCATTCTTTACAAATCAACGTTCATGACTCCAATAGTCCTTCCAAAAATATTTTTTAAAAATCTTACGCTTATGGCTCCTATTGTAATTCCAAAAATATTTTGTCAAAATTTATGCTTCAAAAATATTTTCAAAATATTCAAAAATATTTCTAGAAATGTTCGTTTTGTTCCTTGAAAAAATCCTTTGTCTTCTAGTGCTTGGAAATATTTAAAACAATCACACTAATACAGCGTTTTGAGCTTCTAATTGTCATTGGAAAAATATTTTTAAAGATTCTACTTTCTTCTAGTTTGTAAAATACCTTAAAAATGGCATAAAAAATTTACACATACAAAAGTTCTGAGATAACTCAAAATTTTAATGCAAAATTCACAATGTCCTAAAAAATCTAAGCAAAATTAATAAAAAACGTAAAACTGTGTTAATTGTCTAAAATAGTTCTATATACCAAAAGTACTAGTTTCCGATTTAAAAAAAAGTAAAATATTACAAGTTCAGAATATCACAGAACAGTTTTCTGGCTACTTGACTTTAGTATAAAGTAAAGTAAATTGAAAGAAAACCTGTTGAGTGGTATAACAAGTTTCGATAATTTTTTTAATAAAATTAGACAACTAGAACAGCTAGAAAATTAAATATGAGAATATAAATTGAAATTATATTTTCTCTTAATGTTGAATTACAGTATTTTTCGGTTAATTGACCCTACGGTTAATTGGTTTCTGCGCTTAATTGCACCACATGATAGGGCAAAAAATATTGCATATGAAAACACATGTAAATTTCCTCGGATAATTAAACCCTGTTAATTGATTTTTCCGCTTAATTGGTTCAAAATTCATGTCATCAATAACAAATTTCCCTTTACTTTACACCGGTTAATTGCAAAATAATAATTGGAAAAGTAATCTGTCAGGGTATTATGTCTTTGTGCATATGTTTGTAACAGGCAAAAGGAAACGAGATAGACACATTGTTCCTTTTGAGAATATGCATAGAATCACTTTCTAAGTCGATTTATGAATGTCCGTCCGTCAGTCCGTTCATTTGTCTGTCTGTCCATGTTAAATTGTAGACAAAGTACAGGTCGCATTTATGATCCGAATTGGATTGGCCCAAGAACGAACCCCATTGAAATTGAGAAAAATCGGTTCAGATTTAGATATAGCTCCCATATATAATTTCGTCCGATTTCAGGTAAATGGTGAACCAAAGTTCCTAAAATCTTTCGATTCGAACGAAATTTGGCATAGCGTACTGAATTGAGTCTAGAATGATGTGTCTAAAATTTCTTGAAAATCGGTTCAGATTTAGATATATCTCCTATATATATTTTCGTCC